ACAGATGATGCCTAAAACTAAAGATCTCTCTATCATTTTGATTCTAATCTGGAGACAGAAACCACATAGTAGGATAAACAGAGACATTTTAATGTAAAACAAAATTATTAAACCATGGTAATAGAGTACCTATAAGATAGGAGGAAACTCTATGTGGTGTCCTAAGAATGTGAGAGATTACTCAAAAAAGAAAAAAAAAACTTGAAAAGATTAGTTCAACCCACTAGAAAGCAGAAAAGTTCACTGGTTTGGCCAGATCAGGGCAGTTCTGCAATCACTGACCAAACAGGAGACAACTCTTTCTGGAACACAGATGAAAGACAAGTAACCAGTGGTGTGGGGGGAAAGCTCTGGGATACAGGCAGACTGGGGATGGCCAGTACTGTAGAGGGAATCTGGGTGTCTTTGAGGGCAGGAGGTCAACAGGATTCATGGATGAGAAGTCTTCAAAGTACAGGTTTCCATATAGAGGGAGGCAAATAAAGATAATTGTCCGTCTGAAGTTCCAGCATCACTGAGGATCCGCCACATTCTTGACTCTTGACTGAGTAGAGCTTCACCAGATATCTTCACATCCACACTGCTCAACTCCCTCTACTTCCTTCCAGTGCCACAGCCAAAAAATGCAGAACTACTTCCTCTTGCAATGTCCCAACTACTGAGAAAGCTTCATGCCATACCCACAGCAAAAAAGGAAACAGAAAATGCCTGAAGGAACCCCATGTGTTATCACAGAGTATCTACTGAGGGGGCGAATTTGAAGCTGAGAGGCAGCAATAGTAATGATAACTGGTACATTTCTCTTCCAAGGTTCCAAGGCTCTGTAATAGAAATAGCTTTCCATGGAAAACAGATCGATTCGCTTCCTGGCTGAGCCACTTACTAACAATTTGACCATAGAAAATGTCCTCAGATTTGTGAACCTCAGTTTTTATAGCCTCTAAATTGGAACAAAAATAACTATCTGTAAATTAAAATTTTGTCTAAAGGTCTATAGAAAAGATATAGGAAATACAAAGACTATAGCACAGATCTTGAGATATAGTGGAGACTCAATACCTTCTATTTTTCCTTTCCCCCTTTCTTTTATCCAAATACAAGGATTTCCAACTGACAGCAGCTTTTCAAATATCTATACTTACTTGTACCAATATATATATTATACTAAAATTTTAAAATGTTCTTTAATGTTGCTCTGGTTTCAAGTGTGTCTGTGTTAATGAATGTTTTTCATAATAACTTTTCACGAGTGGCCCAACTCCCTCAGAAAACAAGCTACCAGGGCGCCTGGGTGGCTCAGTCCGTTAAGCGTCCAACTTTGGCTCAGATCATGATATCACAGTTCGTGGGTTTGAGCCCTGCATCGGGCTCTGTGCTGACAGCTAGCTCAGAGCCTGGAGCCTGCTTCAGATTCTGTGTCTCCTTCTCTCTCTCACCCTCCCCTGCTTGCACTGTCTCTCTCTCTCTCTCTCTCAGAAATAAATAAAACATTAAAAAAAGAAAAAAGAAAACAAGCTACCATGTAATTGGCCTCAATGCATCTTGTTGGGTGTATTTTAAATAACATTTTTATAAAAATGTAGTTTCAAGCAATACATCACAGGCGTGGCTTCATAGTATATTTTGAAGATCGGTGATCATGAGCATCTATTGAGGTTACAATCCCCTCCCTTGAAAACAGGCCTCTGTATTTAATAGGGAGAAAGTAAATTTCTGCATTCCAAGAGTTCAATAGATTGCTATGTAAGAGTAAAGTCAGTTGCTGCTTGGAAGTGGGACGATACTGTAGTTGAATGTTTCAAAAGTGATGAGTAATGTGTCATTGTACAGAGGCCCCTCCTGATTCATGAGATCATACTCTAAAAGTTCTATGAGAATCACACTGACAGCAAATATACTTTTTCCCCCTTTACCCTCTTTCTACTTAGATGTCAATTGAATCTGAGTCAAAATGTGATTTGGTCCAGCTCCTCGACACAACTAGGCAGTATTCTCTACTGTGAAATGCTTTATTGGCTGAAAACATTCCTTTTCCAGTCGTCTGTATGTGAGCCGTGAAGCCATTTGGTAAAACTATCAAATTATGAATTACAAATATCATTTAACAGAGACTGAGATCAGAAAGGTTCAGTTCCAAATTAAAATTGCATTTCTGAGTTTTCTTAATGTGACGTATAATCCGTACCATTGTATTATATAATAATATAATATGGATATACAAGTAACCTCTCCCTGAATATTTTCAATGTTGAGGAACTCTCAATTTATTGTTTTAAATGATCTCATTTTATTGTGAAATCTTTTTGATAGTAGTTTCTATATGATTCAAATCTCTCAGAATCCTCCATAAAAACTTCCTAGTGTAACTTAAGATCCTTGCATATGCCATATTTCTTTTCCTGATTCCTCCCAAGTATTTCTGCCCATGAAGTTTGCAAGATAGACTTTGGCTAATATGGAATATGTCAATCTTACTTGGTCTAAGTTTTTTTATGTTTATTTTTTCTTTTTATTTTATATATTTTTTACTTTTAAATTCCAGTATAGTTAACATATAGTGTTGTATTAGTTTCAGGTGTGCAATATAGGGATTCAACAATTCCATACATCCCCCAGTGCTCATCACAGGTGTACTCCCAAACCCTCAGCACCTATTTCACCCCTCCCACAGCCCACAGATTTACCTCCCATCTGGTAACCATCAGTGTGTTCTCTATAGTTAAGAGTCAGTTTCTTGGTTTCTTTCTCTTTTTTTTCCTTTGCTAATTTGTTTTGTTTCTTAGCTGTCTCTGCACAGTCAAGGAAACCATGGACAAAACTAAAAGACAACCTACTAAATGGGAGAAGATGCTTGCAAATGACATAGCCAATAAAGGGTTAGTACCCAAAATATATAAAGAACCTATGCAGCTCAACATCCAAAAAATAAATAACACAGTTAGAAATGGGCAAAAGCATGAACAAACATTCTTCCAAAGAAGGCATCCAAATGGCCAACAGACATATGAAAAGATATTCAACATCCCTCAGCATCAGGGAAATGCAAATCAAAACTACAATGAGATATTGCCTCACACCTGTCAAAATGGTGAAAATTGAAAACAGAAGAAACAACAACAGTTGGCAAGGATGTGGAGAAAAAGGAACCCTCTTGCACTCTTGGTGGGAAAGCAAACTGGTGCAGCTTTGTGTACGTTTAAACTTCTGCTAATACTACAGCCTTACTTTGCTAGAATGGTTACTATTGCTGTACCTCAGCCTCATGCCTTGTCTCTCTCCTATAAGATATCAACATGTATTCATTATCTCTGGCCATCATCCAAGCCTATAAGAAGTTTTTTATTTCATTTCTTTCCTATCACTGTTAAGAACATTACCACTTTTTTCAGTGACTCTGATCCTATGCCTTGCAGGCATTGTTTAAATCATAGGATCAACACTTTTTAAAAATTAAAATAGGATGAGGTGTTAAGAGTCAGACAGATCTAACTGGCCCCTATGTGTTTTCATTTGTTTTATCTCTGTAAAAACCAGAAAAAGTAGTAATGTAGCCAATACTCAGACACCGTCAGAGCTGAGTAACCTCTCTCGCACCAAAATCCACTTTTGGTTGTTATGTTTCAAAAACTGTCACATATTAAGATGTTAGCCTACCTTTTAATTCCATACATGCTCATCTAATTCTAGTTCCTAGAACCAGGAAACCAGTATTAATTTATCTTCCATGTAACAAATATTTTAAAATATGGGGAGAAAACGGTGCTATCAACACAAAGTGCTATGAGGTACGCACTTGTAAGTACCCCCTCTCAGAGCTCTACCTCCCTTCCCCCCAGTGTGTGAGATGCCCTTACAAATTTTCAAGTCCAGACCAGAGAATATATCCCCTTCAATTATTCCAATATCCTCCAAAGAAGATACTTTTCTTCCTTTCTTCCATAGTCCAATCCGCACATACGGAAACGTGGAGACGGTGTGAATCTGTGTTTAGTATTGATATGAAAGAGGGCAAAGAGACATAAAGGAATGAAGAAGTTGCAAAGACAAAAACAAATGACTGGATAAACTAGTAAGTCTCTTAAAACAAAATCCAAGCAAATCTTAACATCTTATAACACACGGCTTTGTGTGACCTGGCCCTCACTCACCTCTCCAGTCTGGATGATTTCTGCTCTCCTGTCCCCAGACCTCCTTACGGTCCCTAAACACACTAAACTCCTACCTGCTGAGAGCTTGGCACCTGTTCTTCCCTTTGCCTCCAACATTCTTCCCCCTGTTCTGACACCTATCCATTTGCCAAATACCAGCCTACTTATCACTTCTTCAGACATTTAACCTGACCCTCCTATCTGAAATAGCACCATGTGATTTTTTAAATTAGACTTTACACTTTATTTTATATTTTTCTAAGTTGGCTCCATGCTCAATGTGGGGCTGGAACTCACCACCCCAAGGTCAAGGGTGACTGCTCTACCAACTGAGCCAGCCAGATGCCCCTGGACTTTACATTTTAGAGCAATTTTATGTGCATGGCAAAATCAAGCAGAAGGTTCCGCTAACACAGTGGTTGCCCAGCCTTCCAGGGAAGCCACAAATATTAACATCCATGATGAATCTTGCCCAAAGGACTCAATAACTTTCAGGAATAAGTGAAATTTGTTTACTGAAAAAAATATACTTATATCCTACTTATGGAGTTTTTATGCTCATGAACAATACAAAACCATAGAATAGGATAACCAAGAATTTACATTTTCAACATAACCAGAATCAAATCTTCTGTCTTCAGGCAACATAATGGAAACATTCATAATTCCTCAATAACAGGTTCTCTGAGGTAAACACAAGTGGTATCCAATTCTTACTCGCATGTAGAGATAATAAAATGAAGCATCTTTTGAGGGGAAAATGTTAATCTTGAAATATTTCTTCAGAGACATAGAATATTCTAGGATGATGTTCTAGCAGCAAGAAGAACAGCATTTTCTGTAGCAAAATGGTCAGTAGGTACAGCAGCCGCTTCCATAGCCACAGCCACAGCCAGAGCTGTATCCACAACCATAGCCACAGCCATATCTGGAACCATATCCACAGCCAGAGCCACAGCCACAGCCAGAGCTGTATCCACAATCATAGCCACAGCCATATCTGGAACCATATCCACAGCCAGAGCCACAGCCAGAGCCGTATCCACAGCCCCTGTAGGAGTTCCCATAATAGTTGTAACACATTGTGGCAGAGAGTGAGGTTACCGTCAAGGGAAAGAGTGCTTCCGAAGTTTGAATACCACCTACTACCATGGAGCCTTTATATACTGACAAGGAAAGGCCAGGGCATATAATGAATTTTGCGATTCATACAATAAATATTTATTTAATATCTAGCATGTGTTAGTCGCTCCTGTCAGTTGATAATAAGAGGACGATCTTTTCACAGCTACAGCATCTACCTTAAATGAACCAATTACTATAGTCTCCATTTTTATTGGGAAACCGTGTTTGGTTTTTGTCACCTAGGCTTTATCTTGAGCCAATTACAAATCTGTAGAGAAAGGTTCCATCAATTATCCAATCATCTGAGCACATGATTCCAAAGATATGTGTAACAAGGCTCTGCGGAGGGTAGCAAAGTTTATGTTAGGAAATATGACTATTAAAATGAGCTTGACTAATTACACTGACTAGATTACTAATTACTTCATGGGGGATTTCATTGCAACTTAATGCTGCCCGATACAGAAACGCAACATTCTATGTTGTAGAGTTCCTATGAATCCAAATACCCATGCATATGATATTCTGATAATAATGTTTTTACCTCAAGAGCCATTCCTCGATAAATTTTTATCAACTCAAGATATTCATTTAGTTCAGACAGAAAACACACACACACACACACACACACACACAAATATCCTTTGTAAGACTGTTGAGGAGTGCCTGGGTGGCTCAGTTGGTTAAGCATCCAACTTGAGCAACTTCAGCTCAGGTCATGATATCACGGTTCCTGAGCCCGTGCCCCATATCAGGCTGTGCGCCAACAGCTCAGAGCCTGGAGCCTGCTTTGGATTCTGTGTCTCCTTCTTTCTCTGTCCCTCCCCCACCTCATGCTCTCTCTCCCTCACTCTATGTTTTCTCTCTCTCTCATTCTCAAAAATTAATAAACATTAAAAAAATGTTAAAAAAAATACAGTTGAAATTTTTGTAAATCACAAATTTCCTTCAGACATTTTAATCTATGTGACCCCAATAAACATGCGAAAGAGGTAGATAACTTGTAATATGGAAATTAGATTACAAAGAGGTTAGGGAACTTACTGAAAGCTCAGTTAATACATTACAAAGACCAAGTGTCTGTTCTTCTTTGTTCCATTACATAAAGTCTCCCTTTCTACTCCTTGGAAGCTTGAACACTTATTGTTTCTTATGGTGACCCATTTCATTGTGAAATTACTGTTATAAAATCCACACACACTTACAAGTCTCATTATTCCCAGTGCCACTTTGGGTCCTAAGTAAAATTTCTTTCAACGTTGTGTTCACAAACCAGTCTCCTCAAGTGTGTCTGAGAGTGCCTCTTGCCCTTTGTTTCACTTTCTCTCTAAAGTGGTCTACCCTTGATACCCATTGGTATGACTGTCTCCTAATATCTGTTGATATGCGGAAATGATATACAGGTGACCCAGGTCAATCACACCTCTTACCGGATAATTTAGAGAATAGTGGAGGAAGCCTGTTGTAAATTATCCCACACCCAAAAATAACACTATAGGACAACATCCACTAATTCTTTCCAGTCTAAATGGATCACAAGTCTAAGCACAGCCTAACTGGGATCTCTGCTCAAGGTCCATGATACTGCACTCAAGGTATCAGCCAGGACATCTGAAAAATCTCTTTCTGTGAAACTTAACTAGGATTTCCAGATTTCGCTGGTATGCCGCAAATATTGCATGACACATACTAAAAAGTTATCTGGTTTTCATCTGAAATTTAGATTTATCCATCTTGAATTTTATCTTCTAACCCCAAACATAACATAACTACAGGACTGATATTCCATCATCTTTGCAAAGGTAAGAGGCAAGTTACGAGACCTGCTCACACTCAAGGGGAGGGAAGCACACAAGGACGCATGTCACCAGAGGTCACCTGTGAATTCAGCCTTCCCATACCTGTGAATTTATTCCTTAAGTCCAACCAGTGATTACATTTCCTCCAGGTTTGATGATATCTATTGCAATAAAGGCTCTAGGATATAGACATTTTCTGAAGTGTATTACATCTTTTTCACCTGTCCAGAGGCTATTTACCTTTATGATGGACCAACTTCTATTCATCTTTCATATTTCAGCTAGAAGTTTCTCTCCCTTGAAGAAATATGCCTGACCCTTCTTTGTTTATTCTTTGTCTTGGCCTCTCTTCTGTTGTTTCCTTCTGTATTTTTCAAACACCCTTGTTATAATTATATTATAGCAATATTCTGATCTTTGTAGCTTGTGGAGTTTTGCTTTAGACAGTGGGGTTAAAATATTTTAATTCTCTGTCCATAGCACATAATTAAATGTCCCTTATTAGGAACTCAACGAATATTTGATGATTAAGACTACTCATTCCCCTGATTTGTAAGAAGTGATTCTATTTCTTCAAGGAGAATAATCTATCACTCATCTTCTTGTGTCATTTTTCTCAAGCCTGCAATTTCTTTCAAGATTCAAAGAATGCTGAGATGCCTGGGTGGCTCTTGGATTCAGCTCAGGTCATGAACTTGTGGTTTCATGAGTTTGAGCCCTGCATTGATCTCTGCATAGGCAGCATGGAGCCTACTGGGGATTCTCTCTCTCTCTCTCTCTCTCAACTTCCCCACTGGCACTGTCTCTGTCTCTCTCAAAATATATAAATAAACTTTAAAAAATATTCAAGGAATACTAAGAACACTGAATTTATTTAACCATGGGTGGCTGAATCTTGACTCCAGTTCTAACAGTTTTTCTACCTCCCAAAGGAAGATAGGATTTTTCAATCCAAAACATATGACATCTGGCCTCTCCTTCTAGATATAGCAACATAAAAGTTTCTGGTTCTGTATTCGCCTGGTATTAACGTCACCATTATCACAATCAGGCATCAAAGCTCAAATCCGCTTTTAACCTATGGTATCCTACAATAGAGCAGAAAATGGATATATAAAACTGGTTAATTCTACCCCTCCCCTAAAATAACCCTAGTAGTAGGTAATCCTGTCCTCGATTTAGATCTACTCAGTGATAGATCACCTGATGTGGGAATTACTCTTGTTTCAGATGGTGTCACACTGAACGAGCTCTTGTGTTGAGAAATTTGGATGTTGTGATCACCCGGTCATCCCACCCTGAGTAGTGTCTCTGGAAAAACACAGAGCATATCTGCAATGCTAGTCTTATTGATCCTGCTATACCAGTCTTTCAGATCTATAACTGCATATACCACCCTGAATTTCTTACAATTCTAAGTGCAAAGAAAAAATACATACTTTTTAGATATTACCTGCTGTAGGATTTTCTCCCATCTCCTTCACTGATGATATTTAAGATCTTATAGGTTCTACCTTCACAAAGTCCCTGATGCTCATCTGTTCCCTCTTATTGTCTACAGCACCATCTAAACTCAGGTTCATTTAACCAGTTCCCAGCTCATTTCTGTCCCTAACTATTGAGCCTTCTTTCCTTCCCCTTACAGCCCAGTTTTTTTCACCAGTAGCATTTTCCTGAAGCAAATTTTTGAGGTGTGTGTGTGTGTGTGTGTGTGTGTGTTGAGTACATGAATGCTGGTTAACATGGAAAGAGTGAAATGGATAGATCCAGTATCATGAAACACAAATACTTAAGAACAAACCCTGGAGTAAAATGAATTAAGAACACATGACTCAGACAAGAAGGAGCAATATTTTAGGGATGAAATACAAGATACGTAATATTCAGTATGTCATGGTTACTGACCAGTCATAATGGAAGCTAGACATACATAATGGGAATGAACAGTTGAACATGAGCCCTGTCAATATCTGAGGAGGTCACAGAAATAATAGACAAAAATATGTCTATAACATGTCTGACACAAAAGATACACAAATTTATGAGTAGTAAAATATGTATTTGGAAATCATCACAATATAGAAACATAGTATAAGAAGGTGATAGATTTAACCTTGGACAATGGCAAAAATGAGGTCTTCCTTCCAAAAACATAGGATAACTCAGTCCCCCTCAATTAAAACGAAGACATTCAAAAAGACAATCGGTTTACTGCAGACTCCGACTACTCTCTTCAGTCAGATCTGGTGTGATTGTGGGACACTGAAACAGAAATGGCTTGGAATAATGATCTTAGAGGAAAATATGTATTTCAGTTATGTTCTAGCAGCAAGATGAATAACATCTTCTGTAGAAAATGGCCTCCAGACACAGCAGGCAGAGCCATAGCCAGACTTGCATCCACAGCCGTATCCATAGCCAGAGCCATATCCACAGCCATAGCCACATCCACAGCCACAGCCACAGCTACCACATGAGTTTCTATAGTAGTTGCAACACATGGTGGCAAGAAATGGCACTTCAATAGTTCTTTAGAAGAGCAGATGGAGGTTTCTGGAGTCTGAATGTCATCTTCTGCCCTGCGACCTTTTTGTACTACCAGAAAAGGTTGGAGCACACAACACAGGCTCTGTAGCCTCATTACCATAGCAATTCTCATTTTTAAAAAGCTCATCATTTTAAGGACAGCAATTTTTTTTCAGGAAGTTATGTCCATCATTTGGCCCTAACTAGTCATAAGAATTATAGGAAAACAGACGTACACTTCATATTACATGTCTGTGGAATGTTAACAGACCTAGTTTAGATTTTCACTCCAGGGAGCTCTAGCACTCCTGCAATTCCAGAGAAACATACATGGGCACTGAAAGATGCTCCAGCATCTCCTATCTCAGGTTCAACAGGAAAGCATCATGGCTGGAAGGTAGATGCAAGCAGCAGCTACATTAGATGATGCATTCTCCAGTTTTTCATCTACCAGAAAGTGGATGGAGCCCAGGTAGAATGGCCACTGCAGTGTGGCTGGAGCAAGAGACAGGTGAGGAGAAGAGATCTAAATTAGTACAAATCAGGGGTCTGATGCAAAAGATCAAAATAAAAATGACCATGATATTATCCAATGCAATATAATCCACTCTACTTAAAGACATTTTTCGGTATGATATGTTTTGAAATGTCTGCCACTTGCATTGCCAACATTTTACTTTCCCCAAATTCTACTGATTCTTTAAAGCACAGCTTACACTATACCCTGTATAAGAAGCATTCCTGAAGTACATGTATTAAGCATAATTCCTCATCTTCCACAGTTTACTTTTATTGTGGTGATGAATATGTTATGTTAGCATGCTCTGTTTTAATTATTTGATTCCCTCCATCGATTGTGTGTTATTTAAGGCCAATAATTTTGTCTTTATTTTATGTGAATCTGAAGAAATAGGCAACTCACTAACTGTTGAATGAGAGTCTATGAGATTCCTTCCACCTGTAAAAATTATTGTTATTTTAATGTATAGGATGTTACATAAGAAAAAATAATCACTGGAATAACAACAATAATTATTACTAACATTTATATTTCTTTCTATAGCTTTTGAGATACATTCAGATTTATCACTTCATCTGATTCTAACAAAAACAACATAGGAAACTGTGGTGTGTATTTTTATGCACATTCCAGATGAGTATGGGAGGCTAAGGATAGTTAAGTCTTGGCCAAGGATGATAAGTTACTTAGGGGTACAATTGAATTCTTTCAATCCTCCCTATAACATAAAAGCTAAAACAGGACCCATGAATTTTTTTTCATGGATTATTTTTTCCTTCAGTTTTTCAAATGCAAAGTATTCACTTGGTCTGACTGAAATTACCAGTATTTTGCAACTTTTCTCTTACCCTGTTCTCATCTGGATTTTCTTTCTTTGAGGTCTTCACCTCACAGCCAAAGAACAACTCAGCCACCTTTCAAACCTGCACTATGACTCCTCTTAAGCACCACATGGTAGTACTAGAGCTGCCCGTCTGCATCTGCAATCTCTGTCTACTGAGAGTACAATCTTTGTAACATGTTGCAAGTTAGCATTTAAGTAGAAATGATGGTAACTTTTCTAGACATCTCAAATTTTAGCCAATATAGGTTAAAAGCATCTGGATCCACAAGTCCCAGGTCAAACTTAAAGCCTGACATTCTAGATTGCCTTCCAATTATGATTGTCCCAATTTTCATAATTCTTTCCATTAAAATATATTCGACATTGACTCCATTCCAAAAATTCCATGACTCCCTGACATTTCATGTCACCTGCTTTCTAAAACATCTTTGATATGATTGTATTTCCCCTCATCATTCCACTGATTATTTTTCCAGACAGTGACTGAACAGTGCAATTAAGTTTACAAGAAATTTTGAAGACCTGCATCATGCAAATGCTATTCCAGGGCATAGGATATTGTATGTATCTAGAGCTCAAGGATGAGTTCTGTCCTAGAAAGTCTTGGAAGAGTGAATCATCATTTTCATTGGACCATTCTTTATGTTTCCACCTCATGCTACATGAAAAATTAGATTATATTCAATTTTTGCTCTTCCCCGCCCCATTAGCTCTTCAATATACTACAACCAATACCCATTGTTATCACTTCTCCCCTAAAATAAGCTTTTTTTCATTATAGATCCCATACCTTCTGCAAATCTAATGGAAACTTCTCTACTAATTAATAGAATCTGATGATAAAAAAACAAGACCCAGCCATCAGAAAATAAACTTCTCCATTAAAACCCATTAATTTGTTATGAAAAGTACATTGACAAACACGATGTCAGTTTACATGGCATCAGAACATATGTCAGAGTTCATAACTATGGAAAACATATATAATAGATGTACAGAACATCTAACTTGGGAGTCTAACCTATGTATTTGACATGAGAATATTGAGATTACTGATTAAAATTCTGGAATTATCAAAATATTGCCAATATTAATAAACATAATGTATACGGTTGAGCCATATAAAAATTTGGGGGTTAAAATGACTAAATGTCACCCATTTCATTATGAGCAACCTAATAATAAGTATAATAACAAAAATGTACTGAGTTCTCACAGTGGTAGAGTTTTGCATATTTTCTTTATTTTGTACTCTCAACAATTCTGATTTAGCACTATTTTATCTTTTTACCTCTGAGTATACTGAAGCTCAGAGGAGTTAAATAATATGCCATGATCACACAGTTAATAACTGATAGAGACTGTATTAAAGCACAAGTAGTGTGACTCTGGATCCTCGACCCTTAATCACTATCCACATAATTTTCTTCTTGAGAGTGTAATCATTGGAATGGCCTTGAAGAAATGATATCTTGCAGAGGGAGAATGTGGTTAAATCCAATGTTTCATGCAAGGGTAACATAGATATCAACTTAAGACAAGCTCTAAAGATTTCTGGACATAAACCAATATTGGTATCCCTCTTATTGTTTTCTGTGGAGTTTTATTTTTCTTTTTCAGGCTCATAAACAATACATCCACATTTTAAAACTTTCAAAAAGGTAAGTTTATTCTCAATAACAAGAGGGATGTAGGCAGCGGTCTGCCATTAATTGTTTAATGACCTCTGCTGAAAGTAGGTGGTCTGATTTGCCAATTTCCACGATGTAAATATTCTTAGCATGACTAGTTTCAAATTAACTGGCTTACAAAATTCCTGAAAGTCTATATCATCTTTTAATACTTTAATATATTAACTTTCATGTTTACAACTTTAATCAATATGCCATTTCTTTTGTGAATGGGGTAAGGCAGGTATCCATCTTTTCTTTATCTTAAACTGTTAGCAAGTTGATTGATACCCTTTACTGAATAAACTATCTCAAGTGAAAACTTTGTTACTAAGCACCCTCTGAAGTCTTTAGCACTGGCTATTGTGGTCTTACTTCCTCAGAATGATCTACTTCCTTTACCTTGATAACGGGTGGCCTAACATGGCTTCTCTACTTGACCAAAGTCTTCTCTGGCCAGGAAGAAGACTTTTTTGTGACTTTATAGAACCAGACTATACAATGGGAATGTATCATGAAACACATACATTTTAGAATTTTCCAGTAGACACATTTAAAGAAGAAAAAGAAACAGAAAAAGATGAATTGATTTTATAGCATATTTTATTTAACCTAATATATTCAAAATATTACAACAATATTTAGTCAATATTTTTAATTATTTGATATGGTTTCAATTCTTCTTTATACTAAGTCCTTGAAACCTAGTGTGTACTTTATACACACAATGCATTTGATTTTGGACTAGCCACATTTCAAGTGCTCAATGGCCATTTCCCTCTAGTGGCTACTACCTTGGACAATGCAACTTAAGAGAATCTCAGAATTTCTATATGAGTGTAATACTGATTATAAGTTTTCCAATAGAGGTTACAACTTAAGCAGTAAGATGCCAATTTATTCACTTCCTTTTAAAATTCCTCTTCCTCAAAATTTAATTTCCCTCCCATGTAGCAGACCAATTTCAACTCTTCCTTTATGGCTCTGTTCATGTCATTCTCCTTTAGAGGCAATTTCTTGTCTAGTCCTCCCTTTCTACATTATGACTTATTTTGGTTTCTCCTCTGAGTTCTTCCTCAGCAGACCTATAACACCTATAAACATGCACGCTATAATGTGAAAGCATGATTTACTACTTTGTATCTAAATGAGTATCTTTAATTATTGGAAGGAGAAATTGTGTGTTCTTTGTGCCTCTGTCCCCAGCACCAATCATAACATGTAGCCGGATTTTGGATATTAAAGTTGGTTAAATAACTGAAAGAAAAAATGCCCAACTTTACAATTTAGTACATCTACAATATGCAACAGCTCATCAAAGAAAAAGATTTTGAGTTTCTTCAAGAAGAAGCTTTAAAGCACCAATCGTTTCCTGATTATAAGAAGTAATCACTTTTATTAATGGTATCCATTTCCCCCATTATCTGACCCAATGTCTGAAGCCATATACTCATTTTTCCCAACCTTCTCTAATGAATGGTACACACACACACATGCACGCACCCACTCACGCGTGAACTATCTCTGATTTTATCAACCCTATCTTTTAAAATTTTCATTTCCTCATTTACTCAGGATGAAAATCACAATTATTTTGGGATTTTCTTCATATTATATAAAAGAATATTTTAATTCTTGTGCTTAGGAACTATAAAGACGATACATGATTTGGAAATGAGACTGTATCATATGGCCAAAGAAGAATCATCCTCCCTATGCCTTTTCTTTGGTCTGGTCACTCAGAAATATGTTATCAGCTATGATTGTTGTTGCCTGTCACCTCACATTATTTTTATCTCTGTATTTATCATAACCTACTTTCCTTTCCACATAAATTCAGGACCCCTTTTTTACATACTGATATACCATATCTCTGAGGACTGGTTGGAATACTGATATTCTGCGCCACGTTGTCTTTTGACTGACATCACCCATTTGGTATATTTTGCTTTCCCCTGACCGCCACATCTCACTCATTGCTAGAGAAAATATTGTGACCAGGTTTTCCCCTTCCACCTGTTTCATGATGGGGTCCTGACTCACTCGCCCCAAGGAGCTGCACACAGCTTAGAGATCTTTCAAGAACCAAGCTGCTGACTATTTCAGACTCATGTCTTACAAACTGATGAATCACCTGTAGTACAGGCCTTCAAAACATGGCTTCTATTTGGTTTTCCTACAATTTAGTCTTTGGTCTTCCACGTAACAAAGAACTCGTGGTTTCCTCCCTCCTTCACCAGATGCTCTATATAATTGTTTTTTGACTAAAAGAGTCACAATATTTGCAATTTGAACATATATTAAATGTTACTTTGTGAACACTGTTGTTTGGATATGTAAATGACATTATAATACTTAAAAATGGTATCCCCACATTTTTTTAAATGTCTGTGATGACAAAGGCCATATGGAACAATGAGTAGATTTTCAACCAACTGTAATTATTAGAATTAACTTCTCTTTGTAAGGCTAATTGTATACTTACACAAAGCAGTCAGTCCTCAGCTCTGACTAACAAATGTTCCATCACTGAAAACTGTCCAGCTCTTGAAAGAACCCCTATTTCCTCAATAGTAAAACGCGTTATATGTTGGGCATAGCCTCACTTTAGGGCTGACCTTGATGGGAGATCCATCCTCCTGTTGTGGAATTGGCCATGTTGTTGATAGATTGGCCATCTATCACCTGGGTCTGCTTCAAATTTCTCATTAATCCTGAGAACTCTCTTCCATTCCATTTATCCTTTAAGTACTCAAGCCATACCTCCTTTCCTTTGGCTTCTGTCACAACCTCCTGAAGAGGTGACATGCCACCTCATCCTGCTCCATTACCTCCATTCTAGCTACAGTGTGATTTCCAGGATACAGTTTTGAAATACTGTGTGAGGGCTGAGTATGAAAAATATAAGAAATAGATGCAGAAGACATTATCTCTGATGCACATAAGAGAAGAAATTCTTGTGCTATATCAAGGAAGAGCTCTAGGTTCATGAAACATATTGTCAGCTAGATTTTCAAGAGAGGCCATAACACTTCAAAATAAGGAGTAATTCACAATCAAGAACACAGAGATGTGTTAGAAACAATGAACCATCTTTATTGAGAATAAGGGATTTTCCCAGCTGTGGGATATAAGGATCGTTGCCACAGTCACAAAACAGAATCCAGATTAAGGGAGTAAAGACCAACATTTAGAAAATTGTCAGGCAATACAACACAGCCTCAAGCCATAAAATGCCATCCTACAAATGTTAGCTGGTGTTCAAATCTATGAAGCATGCAATTTTTTGGATAGAGAAATCTTGGGATATGGATCCTTGAATTAGCCCTCTCTTAAGATGTCATTTCAGAAGCAAGTGGGCTGGGACAATGATGTTCTAGCAGCAAGAAGAATAGCATCTTCGATAGAAAAATGGCCGGTAGGTACAGCAACCAGAGCCATAGCCATAGCCACAGCCATATCCGGTGCCATAGCCACAACCATATCTGGTGCCATAGCCACAGCAGGAGCCATATCCACAGCCATATCGGGAGCCATATCCACAACCATAGCCAGTTCCATAGCCACAGCCATAGCCTGTTCCATAAGTGCAGCCGTAATAGGGACCACAGCCACAGCCATAGCCATATCTGCAGCCATAGCCACAGAAGTTGCTGTAGTTGCAACACATGCTGTCAAGAGGCGAGAATTCACACAGGTTGTGAGAGAATGTGGTGAACTGTGTGTCTTCTACTTGCCTTGGACCTTTATATACGGTCAGTAATTGGCAAAGCATGCCATTCACCCCCTGACTTATCCAACAAATATGTAAGCAACTATACTGTGCCAGTGACTGTCAACAATCAATAATGTCTTGGGTAAAGTGAGCTTATTATTTTGGTGACTCCCATTTTATTTAAAGAGCAAGAATTTTTTTAAGTTAATTGATTTATTTTGAGAGATAGAGCATGAGCAGAAGAGAGGCAGAGAGACAGAGAGAGAATCCCAAGCAGGGTCTGCTCTGCCAGCGCAGAGCCCAGTGCAAGACTCCAACTCATGAACCATGAGATCATGATTTGAGCTGAAATCAAGAGTCATATGCTTAACAGACTGAGCCACCCAGGGGCCCCTATTTAAAGAGCAGCATTTTAATTCCCTCTGCCAGAGAATTGTCTCAGTAGAATCATATACTTTACATAAAACTTATTCCAAACTTCACAACCTCCTTTTAATATACTTCCTACAACAAATTTAGAGGGAATTTAGGAAAATTTTGTCCCTCTTGATCTCTCCTCCTTCTCAAAATATCTACCTCTGCCCTTAAGGAAGGAAGCAACACCCAACTCCATTCTGGAATCACTGCAACTTCTTGCCAGGCTTCTTGTACCCAGATACCTACTATAGATACCTACTGGCTCCTTGTGGGAGAAACCAGGGATGATGATAATCTCAGGGCACAGAACAACCCAGAAGAACATTGAAAGATCTAATGTCAAATGTCAATAGTGCTGAGATCCAGAAACTTTGGTTTATAACATTGCATCTATAAATTAAGTTCTTTCTGTATTGGTGTCTAAGTCCAAATATTCCCTTTCTTCTCAATTAAACGAAACATCTGACCTTTCCATCAGCAGATGTGTAGTTTAAAAACAAAGTTGGTTATTGTTTGTTTGTGATATTTTTGGTTATTTTTGTTGACTAGGTCACTATTTTCAGATTCAGGCACAATCCAAAATTTAAATTACTTTCTACTGTAACAATTGTGAAATCTGAGCTGGAAGTAGAAACTCAGGAAATTTTCCTTCTACTCCACATTCATATTTCAACAACAAAGTTATGAGTGCCTTCGACAGAGATTTTTCATAAAGCTGCTGATTTTCTTTTCTGAGAACTTTCATTATTAGACATTTTTCTTTCAGTTACAAATATCTCCCACTGTTTTTTATAATACTGGCCACTAATCTGTTTGATCAGTCTGGTATGTGTCATCACTAACAAGAAGCTTAAGAAAATAGGTCCTATGCAATTATTCTTATTATTCTTTATCTTTTATTTTCTCTCCTTTTCTGTCAGTCTTGAAATTCAAAACGATAAATTCTAATGTACAAGTTCCCTAGAATAGACATGTTAATTTTCAAGCACACACTTTCTGGCCACCATATGCCTGATCCATTGAAATCCACTCCGATATTTATTGCATTATTTCTAGTACATTTCCATTCAGCTCTCTGGATACTGACCTATAACAGCAGAAAAAAATCTATATTTTGTACATCCCTGAATCACAAGTTCTAAGTAGACTGCTTGGCACATAATTTGAAATCCATCTATATTTCCACCAGTAAAAACAGATGCAAGAATATAAAACATGTTCTAACTTTGGTGTGTTCTCATTTCACTTGAGCTGATACATTAAAACAAAACATGTTCTAACATTGGAGTGTTTTCATTTCACTTAAGCTGAAAGTCTCAAATGTTCTTTGACTAAGAGAGTCACAAATTTTACATTTTCAATATGTGTGTTAGTTTACAAAGACATTTTTCCAGAGGTATAAATGATCTTAAATGCTTCATAAATGATCTGTCCTTTACTACATATGTAAATTTTGATACACATGCCTAATTAATGATATTCTAACCTCTTCCAGAAAGTATTCAATGACAAAGAAACATAAATGAAATCATAAGTTAGTTCTTCAATGAACTTAATTGTTGGAATTCCCTTCTCATCTTTATAGGATTTCCCCACCTCATATTTACCCATAGGACAGTCAGTCCCCAGATTTGACTTAAAGATGTTCCATCTGTAAAAACTGTCCAACTCTTGAAAGAAGACCTGTTTCTTCATCAACAGAAAACATTATATCTTGGGCATAGCCTCTCTCCAGGGTTGACCTTGATGACAGAGCTATTTTTCTTGGAATTGGCCATGTTGTGGAGTCTCCAAGCTACAAGTCCTCAGGCTCAGACTTGCGCAGTGACCCTTGTCATGGAGATCAGTCAGTGAGTCACTTTTCACTGCTGGTTGAATTTGAGTCTGAAATCCTTTTTTTTAATAGTAGGATCTGAATGTTAGAATTCTGGAATGGCACATGAGAGAAGGACACTGATATCAGACTCCAACAAACTAGTAGGTTCTCAAACTCAGAATTGGGCTTTTCATCCGATTCTTATATCAGTATCGAGTAAGTCCCTAAATGATACCAATTAAACCCCTAGTCCTTCCTCTTTTCAACTGAAAACTGTGGCAGCGCTAATCATACCCAAAACTTAATGAAATTCTCTTACCCCTTTTTACTTAGTACTGTCTTTTCTAGTCACACTATCAAACTTGGATTGGTTCATTTGACACAAAACATGAAAATACCTCCCTGAACTATCAAATATTTCATCTTCATTGTCTCCCCCAGGAAGCAGTTTTATTCCCCCAATGTCAATTGTCTGTCTAAATTTATCTTAAATAATTCATAAAATATTAACACCTACTAGTATGTAAACACTGTGAGAACAAGAAATTATTCTCCAATTTGATCCTTCCTCTTCAGTGTGTAGGACAGTTCTCTTTCAAAAACATTCAAAACTATTTGTCAATTAAGTGACTTATCAATTTCCTTAAACTCAGTATATGCCAACAAATATATTAGCAAACAATCAAATTCAGATGAAATGATGTCACATTTTTCTTCTAACTTATCCTTTCCTTGGATCCTTATAACTCAGCTGTGGCAGCTTCTGATTTCTCATTACCAACAGAAACTCTTTCTTCCTTTACACTTCTCCTTTAAGCACTCAGGCCACACCTACTGGCATTGGGCTTCTGTCACAACTTCTTGAAGAGGTAACATTCCTCATCATCTTTCCCTTCAGCTCAGTTCTAGGTACAGTGTGACTTCCAGGGCAAAATTTTGAAATACTGTGTGATTTGCACTGAGTTGTGAGGGCCTGAGCATGAGAGATATAAGAAACAGGTGAAGAAGACATTTTCTCTGATGCATGTATGAGAAGAATGCTTGCATTATATCAAGGAAGAGCCCTAGGTTCATGAAAAATATGTCAGCCCAATTTTCAAGAGAAGCCATAAGACCTCAAAAATGGTGTAATTCACAATCAAGAACACAGAGATGTGTTAGAAGCAAAGAACTATTTTTATTGGAAATAAGGGATTTTCACACATATGGGATGTTAAGTGCATTGCCACAGTCACAAAACAGAATCCAGATTAAGGGAGTAAAAACCAACATATGGAAAAGAGTTAGATGATACTACGCAGCCACAAGATGCCATCTTACAAAAGTTAACTGGTGCCCAAATCTTCTACAAAGCATGCAATTTCTTGGATATAGAAGTCTTGGCGTATGGATTCTTGAATAAGCTCTCTCTTAAGCCACCTTATTTAAGAAACAAGTGGGCTTGGACAGTGATGTTCTAGCAGCAAGAAGAATAACATCTTCTATAGGAAAATGGCTGGTAGCCACAGCAGCCAGAACCATAGCCATAACCACATCCATATCCGGTGCCATAGCCACAGCCATATCCGGTGCCATAGCCACAGCAGGAGCCGTATCCACAGCCATATCGGGAGCCATATCCACAGCCATAGCCAGTTCCATAGCCACAGCCATAACCTGTTCCATAACCACAGCCATAATAGGGGCCACATCCACAGCCATAGCCATATCCACAGCCATAGCCACAGGAGTTGCCGTAGTTGCAACACATGTTGTCAAGAGAGAATTCACGTGGGTTGTGAGAGGATGTGGTGAACTGTGTGTCCTCTACTAGACTTGGACCTTTATATACTGTCAGTAATTGACAGATCATGCCATTCATCCCCCTGACTTACCCAACAAATATGTAAGCAACTATGTTGTGCCCGACATTGTCAACAGTCAATAATGCCAAGGGAAATGAGAGCTCATTATTATGGAGATTCCAACTTTATTTAAAGAGCAGCATTTTAATTCATTCTGCCAAAAAAATGTTTGAGGAGAATCATGTGCTCTATTTAAAACTAAAATCCATGTTTACAATGTCCTATGATTTAATATATCTTATATATGAAGGCTGAGGGGAATTTAGGAAAGTTTTGTCCTTCTTGATCTCTCTACACTCCTAAAATGTATACCTCTGCCCATAAGGTAATAAATACTTCAGTTCCTTTCTGGAATCATTGCAACATCCTGCCTGGCCTCTGGCATCCAGAGACCTACTGCACATACCTACTGTCTCCATGTGGTAGAAGCTAGGAATGATGCCCATTTCAGGGCACAGAAAAGCCCTCAACAACATTGAAACACCTCATGTCAAATGTCAATAGTGCTGAGATCTAGAAACCTTGTTTTGTCACCTTGCATCTATAAATTAACCTCTCTCTTGACTTTTGTCTAAGTCCAAATATTCCCTCTCTTCTCAACTAAACTAAACATCCAACCTCTCCATCTCCAGACATACAGTGGGGGGGGGNTCAACTCAACTAAACATCCACCCTCTCCATCACAAGACCTACAGTGGGGGGGAAAAGGTGTTTTGTTTGTTTGTGATGTTTCTGTTTATTTTCATTGTTTAGGTCACTGCATTCAGATTCAGGCAGAATCCAAAATTTAAATTACTTTTCACTGTAACAACTATGAAATCCTAACTGGAAAGGAATACAAATTCATTGTCATCTCTTCTACTCCACACTCAAATTTC